GGCAGCACTCATGGGTATTTCATTCAATCAATTAGGAAAAAGTCCAAACATTGACTTAATCACAACGAAAATAGATCGTGCAAAGAGCAGTCATAAATTAAATTAATAAATTAGAATTATTACAAAAATTAAAAAAAGTATTTTTGATTTCAAAGCGCCTAAATACATCCCATAAACAGCGCTATAATTGAAGATAAAAACAAGTATACGCCTTTCAAATGAACTAAAATTGCATACGGCATGAGTGAACAGCAACAGACACAGTGCTGGGGTCATCCAGGTTCGGCCAGCCGTAATTATAGTACTTTAACGTGGACCCCAACAAAGGCTTGCAATAAAAGACACTTCAGAAACAACGCTCTTTAAATCTGTAGTTTCAAAAACTCTCCTAAAGAAAAAAAGAACAAAGAATGAATAACCCAAGTAACAAATAAACGAACAAAAGACAAACTATGAACAAACCTTCTCATGAATAAATTAATCTAACTTTACAGAATATAACAGAATAAAGAACATCTCGAAATAAGCACTAAAAGTAAAATACAAGACCAAACAAATAACCAAGTTAAAACACACCTTGACACTGTGGGTTCAAATGCAGGACTGGCTAAAACCTACAAATTTAACTTTCGCACTTCTGAACTGAAAACAAAAATTACAAAATTATAAAAAACCCAATTCGAATTCCCTAACAACAGAGTTGCTCGTAAAATAAGTCACAAGGGCGGACTACGAGTGAGAAACGTAAATGATAGCCAGTCTACCCGAGCGTTGCAACCAACTGTAACCATGAGGCAGGTAATACGAGCTCCAAGTCGAAATGGTCAGAAATTGTATTACCGGTCAACTTGAACCAAATTGGGTTCTTTCATACGGAGTCACTTGTACAATTTTAATCAGAATTTCAGAAATTAGTCACTCAGAAATCATACTCCCATTATCTCTCACCAAATGGGGGTTATTTGACTTATTTCAGATGAAGTCCCCAATCAAACTACCTTGAGTTAGCAAAGAACCTAATTTAACAATCTCGGGTCGAATTTTTAAACTTTAGTGCACACTTGACGCATATAGCTAGTTTTAGAAATGTTCTTGAAAAGTAATTTGCCTTAGTCTCGACTAAACATCAATGCTCGAGAAAACGAGATAAACACTCAATGATTTAAATTAATTATGGAAATCATTTGACGGAAGCACACGAGATAGCGACAGATTAAGGCAGAGTGGATGAAGATGAGGTTTCACCATTCGAGAGCATAATGTAAATAATGAAAAACGGAATGTAATTATATTGAACAGCAAAGTAGTAGTAGTAGTATAATGGTTTGCTAGCGCTTCAGCTATCAAGCTATTTCCCACATAGATTTAGACTACTAAGAATGAACTTAGAGCGAAGACAAAACCGTCGGCAAGCACTTATTCACAACCACAAGGATCATTGATAGGTAGATCACGAAATTTGATGAGCACAGTTGTCCATGCAAACATTCGATCTTGATAGAGTAAATCATCTTAATATTCATTAAAGTTTAACAATACTTATCGTGTCTAAATATATTTTCCTTGACCTGAAAATTTATTCTCAGTGAAGAAATGGCACTGCAGAACCGGAAAAATAGGATTGGAATAAAAATTTAAATTTGGAATTTACTTCGAAATAACTTGAATTTAGAGGCGCACAATGGGATCGTCATATTCCGGAACAAGAATCAAAAGGTAGTTCAATGTTCCAAGTAAAATTCGTGTTCAACAAACAATCAACAAACAAAAACTTCACAATTGTTGATGGGATTGGGGAAAACAGGTTTGGCGGGATTCAAGATAACAAAATTTAAAAACTGCAGGATTATATATTACGGGCCACACCGGGATAACCCGAAACTCAGAATGAAAGTAACCCTTAACCCTAAGGTCTCGCATACGGTTACCGGCGTCAATGCTATTCGTACCTAGTGGTTGAGGACAGAGAAGTCCCGTCAGTCATGAAAGGGTTAAAAATGAAAATTTGTTAAAGCCAAGGGCAGCCAGCTGTACCCTTGTTCCTAGCACTTAGATTGGCACTGATGAGATCTTTCAAGCCTAATAAGCTGCAGAATTTGAGTAGATAATGAATAGAAAAAAGTTATCGAGTTAGCTCGCTCTCAGATCCCTCAGATGTGGAGCTTGCACTGCATGCTCCATTGTGCCTTGACACACTCAAAGCATCCATCCTGCTCGCAGCTGAAATAATTGCTGCATTGGTATATTCAAGATCCTCTGTATCAGGCAGCAAGGGGAAGCGCAAGTCCCCGTTGTCATCAGGATTGGTGAGCTGGGCCTCCACGGAGGACGGGGTGCGTCCTTGCACTGGAGGCACACGCAGATCTCGACGGGCGTACAGGGGCATTTGAGACTCGTCATCTGGAAACAAAGACAAAATAAATGAACTAAGTAAAATTTTGATTTTGTTTTGGACATTTAGAATTGGAGAATGTGTTGAAAGCATTTCCTATGATAAAAGAATGCAGTGCGCACCTTTATTTCTAATTCATGATAAAGGCATAAAATTATACAATTATCATTCATGCGCAGACTACAAATTCATTAATTTTCAATATATTTCTATTGAAAAAACCTGTTGAATCAGGAGAATCTGTGGGAGACATGCGGCACTCTCGCCTAAGGTAGTTGTCCAGTTTACCAATCGAGGCTAATATGAGGCCAAGGAAAGGAGGGGACGCTTTTAAAGGCCTGCAAGTAAACGGAGAGCAGTTAATGACAAGAACATTAAGAGCACAATAACACATGGATTATTTCAACTGCAAGTGCAACAAGTAAAACTAAAACAACTGATCTTCAAATTTGCGGTCGACTTTTTACATGTTGAAGGCGATTCACAAAACTGGCGACCATAGTGACAAACCTGAGATTTTTTAGAATCAGTTCTCATTTTTAATTTGCTCATTTACTCAAGATTTTAACCAATTTCTCAAGTATGATATTTCTGGTATGAGTGGTATCCATGATAGTTAACTGGTCTTAGTGGTCTACTTAGGCTTTAGGACTCGAAAATGAACTTGAGGGAGAATAAAAACTCTCTGCTTTGCCACTATGCTGGCGACTGGTGCTATTCTGCTTGGGTTCCAATTAAACTTTACAATTTAAAATAATTATAATTAATATGCTTCTCTGATATTCAAATAAAATAGTTAAACACACTTTCAATTATTTCAAACTTTTATATTTCATTATAAACACAATGTGCTGAAAATGGCAATACATTTTGGGGTTCCTTTAAATATTACATATATTTTATTAAAGAACCCGCCCGTGGGTCGTTTTGCAGCAGATGGAAGTCGGTAATGAGCCACCGGTGGGTGGTATCGCACTCATGATGTTAAACAAATACATGTTTGGTTGCCATAAAAAAAAATAAAACATACCTGGTAAGATATTCAGGATGGTACTGACATCCCACATAGTACGGATGGTCTTCCAGTTCCAGTATTTCCATTCTTTCCCTCTCTTCGTCCTGGCCGACAAAATGTAGACCAGCATCTTCCAGAGCGCGGACCAGCCGAGGGTCAACTTCATACCTGTGCATCAAGTTTAGCACATTGCATTTCTTTGGACAGATACACAAACGAATATAACGAGTGCGCATCTAGTACTGCAACACACGGTAGTTAATTATTCAAGTTAGACTATCAGTAAATGACCTTTTGTGATTAAAAAACTGATTCGATTCCATAGACAACATCAAATAATCTTCATTAATCAAGATCCTATAGTATTCGTAAAAGAATAACATTACAAAACACTCACCTATGTCGGTGTCGTTCTTTTACAAAGTCGACGTTGCCATAAAGTTGCCTCAGTTTGGACTTTTGGGTAACAAAAATGGTCTTCTTTGTGCCCAGCCTCATGGTGCCTCCCATCTGGCCAGGATTGTGTTCCAGCATTTCGATAATGGCATAAGGTCCACTACTGTCTTCGTCAGCAACTTCTTGGCTGGTAGCTCCTTCCATGTTCAGGACATTTCTGTGAGGCGCATGAAGTAACAAGTATATGTAATGTTAGGAAATACACATTTTTGCCGTGCATATCAAGAAGACCATTGTGCTGAAAACCTATTTAACAGAACAAGACATTTGTTTAATTGAGAAAAGCACAGGTGTGGTGTTACTCTTCTATCAAATTGTATCAAAGACTTGGATTAACTGTTAATTCAAGTACCACAAGATATCAGTACACAATACATATAGTGACATATACTGCCACTAGTGTATTGAGTACCAATAAATATTCCAGTTAAACAATACTACATTTCTGTCCTGCAAAAACAATAACACAACTATAAACTGAGGTAAGCATAGCCGAAGAAAAACGTTCCGGATGAATATACTCGTAACATTCACATCATTTGACATGAGATTTGAACACACCGAGCGAACTCAATTACGGCAGCTTGAAGTCCAAGGCATATTCCGAGGAAAGGCTTCTTGTTGAGGCGAGCCCACCGACACACCAACACTTTGCCCTCCAAGCCACGCTTGCCGAACCCACCCGGCACAAGCAGCCCACTGCAACACAGAGCTTGAGTGAGTTGTGGAAGGGGAGTACAGAACCAATGCTGCTAAAGAAACCTAATGTGAATTCAATGCACTTTATACGCATATCAAAATAATTGGTACCGCTACAAGTTAACCTACAGTGGATTATTTTCATCACTACAAAATTTTTAATCTTTTAAATTGAAATACATGAAACCAATTACAATGCCCTGGAATCGTGCAAACGTTGGCTTTGTATCTTCTACATGCAAACCAAGGAAACAAAATATAATGAATTCAAAGGTATGAGAGCGTTTCTTACTGGCTCTTGCAAACATTTTGCCAGGCTTCGTGGTATTTGACAGGCCGTTCAGTCTTGGCAGAATCTTCCAAATCTTCAGCCTCGATGCAAACTAGACGAAGTCGGCGTTGGCAGGCGAGAGCTGCGTGGTCCAGTGCCTTAATGACTGAAGCATAGGCATCTGATAGTTGGGTGTATTTTCCAACAAGTGCGATGCTCACATCTTGCCGGAGGTTCTCTTGTCTGTCAAAATGATGAATATTATTACACAATAGTACTACCAGTAAAGCTATTTTTTCTGTGTCAACTGATATCATACTGACACAAAAATAACATGAAAATGAATTTTCACCTTGAAACCAACTGCTTCCACTTCTTCATGAACCCTCGGGGGCGAACTAAAGGCAAGCCGAGGTTCAGGCGTGAAATGAGAAGAGCAGAAAGCTTTTGCTCCTCAAGCATCAGAGGAACCTCATAGATGCTGCGGGCATCATGAAGGCAGATCACCTGCAAGANTGTAACCTCAGTCAAGTATAAATAACACATACAAAAATGATAATAAAATAACATAAAATACTAACATTTACAGAATACATAAAAATATATCATAAATATAATAGATGATATACCTACACATTACACAGATATATTTTGACATACATTTGATATATAACTTTGGAATAATGAACAACAATATTTCAATCTCCTACAAGCTTTAAATTATTTAGGATCGAATACAGTAATCAAATTTCGTGAACAGCAACTATCCTCTCCAATAGGAATCAGATGAACATCCGAGTTGCACAAAAGGCCTTTTTTAACTACATAATATTATGGGCTTTTGCAAAATCAAGGCATGAAATTCCCAAGACCTAACAGGCTAACAACCACATTCAATTCCAATTTCCAAGGTACCATCAAAGTCAAACAGGATTAATAAGTTATGGTTTTGAACGTTTTTTTTTAATAACTTCCTGACCATGAAACATTTCATAAACAAGTTTAGGCTCATTTTATAGCACTTTAGGAAAGCTATCAAATAGCTTCTTCAAAAAAATTCCATATGCTATTTGTAAGGACCCAGACGCAAAAAACAACTGTCCTGAATTACCCCTGGCCCTGGGAGTGGGGTAATCCAGGACACTTGAAAGTTGAAATAAAACTCAATTTCAAAATGTTCAAGCCAGAGCCAAAATATTCCAGAAAAAAGTAGGACTTTTCTTGACTTGTGTGGACTGTGGTAGGCCTTCCAATCCATTTTGTTATACTTATCTTATACAAATGTGACTGTGGTCTGTGAGAAACTGAGAATATATTGCCAATCTCAAAATCCACATGTTAACTAATCATGAATTCATGATAATGTAACTTGCTCACAATTCAAAAAGTTATAGGCCTAACTCTTAGTTGAAATCTAGGCTAGCTCTAAATCTCTAATTAATGACTAATGGCTAATGCTTTCAAGCTTGAGCAAAAAAGAAGAAGTATTTATTTAGTAACTAATATAGCTATACCTACCTAGTTGTTCTTCAGTTTTGAGATTATTAACAGAGTGGAGAATGGAGATTGTAGCAAAGCAGAGACTTTAGATTATTTGTTAAGTTCATTTTTCAGCTCTAAAGGCAGACCAGTAAGTAGGCCTATCGGCTATTGCTATTATGGCTCATGGGATTGGGTGAGTCATGGGAAATCTGACATAAATACCATTATACCAACATTATCATACATAGAATTGATAGGAATAATATGTTTGAAATCTTGATTACAATTTACAATCAGATATCATCAGTATTTGAAGAAATTAAAAAATAAACAGATTTTATAATTATATAATTATAAAATCTCTGCTTTGCCAGGCCATAGCCTATGTAGTATGTTCAGTTCACTATGTACCTAGTCTGTCACTATCACTAAGAGTAAGCTTATGCCCAGTTTTTGCCCACCGTCCAGACTCCAGAGTTGTGTGTCGTCATAATTACACATTTACACTCATACTCATAACTATAGTAAATTATTAGTAATATACAATCGTTATGTAATAAACAAAAATTGCACATTGATAACCACTCAATCCTTAGTTTATTACAATTAGTCCTAAGACAA